CAACATAACGTTTTGTGATAAAGATAAAAAGGTTCTACATCGAAAATGTCAATTACATCTGAATTCAATGAATGTTTATGCTAAAAAAAAGCTCAGAAACAGAAAGTCAACGCTACTCATTATCCACCTAAAACATTTCTATTACAAATGCACAATTTAAACACAATTTTGCCTTCAGTTCCACTCAGTTTTCTTTCAACAACAGTAGTCATACTATATCCAAGAGTTATTCTCCCTCAAAATTTATAAATTTCAAAATCGGTTTTCTAGAGCAATTACACCACCTCCACAGTCTACACCAGTATCGCCTCGATCTCCTATATACTCTCTCTTTAAATGGAGTAAATCACTTTCAAAATCTGGAAGACGGACAGTAAATCTGCGAGATTCAATTGATGAATACTTTGAGAACAAAGAAAAACAGAAGTCTATTAAAGCACAAGTTAAATGTACCTTTGATCTTCGAAGTAAATCATATCCACCTGCATATTTACCTGATTATGATTTTTCGGCTATTGATGATGAAAATGCAGGGCTACCACCAGCAACTGATAGAGGCATTAATGTTGATAATAGTAGAAAATTTTTATTGTGGAAAATGAGAAATGATATCAGTGATAAAGCAGTCAATGAATTACATCATATAGATGGCTCAGTTTCCACTTTATACAAAATTCGATTGATACGTAATGATTTAAATAAAAAGATTTGTGTAATCAAAATCGCGCATGGTGCACATATACCAATGGAAGATGTGATCAAAACATGAATTCACATCAACAAAAAACTCATAAAAAAAATTGGGAGAACAATAACCATTCGTTTATCGCTCGACGATACTCAAATAGGTGATAAATTAAAACTGCTTGTTATTTGTATCAGTTGCCCTCAATCATCTACAAACCAAAAAGCTTCCAAAATTTTACCTCTCGATCTGTTCAGAATAGAAGATGAGAATTCTGACCAAATAAAGCTAATTTTGCCTGTGAAATTAATTTCAAGTAATGAACAAAATAGAAAAGTGTATATTGACGGTGAAGAATTCAAGTTAGTCTTTAAGTTAGTAAATTTTTCATGAGAGTCATGATTTTATAATAAGAAACGCTTCTGTTTCGAGTGAAAATTTGATCATCATCGATATCTTTTTTACTCATAGATTAGCGTGTGATTACAAGATGCTGTTGTTCTTGTTTGGCTTGAATGCAGTTAGTGGCATCTGTTTTTGTCCTTGATGTAAAATATCATCAATTAATATTGAACATGTCGCAACTTTCTCCGCTTATGACGTTAAACGAGGGTCACGCAATATTGATAAAGTCATAGAAGGAGTAAAATGGTATATGACAAAAACTTAATATATAGTACAGGAATCACAATAATGTTTGTGGACAAGGGAAAATCTTAAATGGATTTCTTTACATAAGTTTTAGAAAAATCCATCTGCACAAGAGTGTAAGATATAGAGTTGAGTATCATTGCCGAGCGAATTTAATATAAACTGACGGAAATTGTAATTTTTTGATAGTACATAAGAAAATTATACCAAGTTTCTTCAAAAGCACTTTCGTTAGACTTTCTTCAGATTTCTAAAGAACTTGTTTATCGATAGATTTGATGAAAAACGCGTGTAAAGGTTTCTTGAAAAACTCCTGAAACGTCAATGTCGAAACCAAGAATTTAAAAAAATACTTAGAAGCCTTATTCAGTACTGTCTTATTAGATCTTCTCAAGAAACTGCAGTGGTCCACATCTAAAGTGTTAATTCTGCCTCTAAAACAGTATCAAAGTGTATCCATTTTTACAGAATTAGTGGATCAAGACGATATGGTTATTTGCGAGAATCAATATTTGGAACAAGTTTTAATTAAATATCTTGTGTTTAGCCGTACTCGGAAAACAGTTTCTTGTCTGACTATACTGTGCTTTAGTTTTAAAGATGCTCGACTCGACTTGTTTCATTTCCGATATCGAGTTAATGATGTATTCATGCGACATATCGTTGGCTTAATCAATGAACAATATGATCTGGATGATAAAGATGAAGTTGGACAAGCCCTTGTAAATCTTCATGATTTATCAGAACGTCAAAAAGTAAATAATCAGCTTTTTCCAGGGATATCTAACCTACACTATAGTATTTAGGGTAATGGCTTATCGAGTAGTATTTCTTTTGTATTGCTCATCCCTTGCCAGGATTAGCATGAGCAACTAAACATCAGTTGATCCGAAAGAGGAGAGAGTACAGTACTGCTATAAAGATCATGGTAGTAGAATTTTACCAAATTCCCACACTTTGATTTTATTATTCGAGCTTTCGAAAGCTTCTGCTTTCATCTTCAGGAAAAAACAAAATGACATAACTATTGAGAAATAGGTTCAAAGTACATAAGAGAGAGATAAAGAACAAGGATGATTTGTATTCGTATTAATCAATGAAACGGTTAACGAACGGTTCAGGTTAGTTTTGATTCAATATTTATGAGCAATCGAGGATTTTGACGGGATTTCTAGAAAACCGCCACAAGAAAAACCACCTGGCCAAAGTCAATACCTTGCGCCTTTTGTAACACTTGTCGAGTAGAGTGTGGATTAAGAAGATCTCGAAGAACTGATGAGTAGTTTTCGAGGGAGGAGCCCAGGAAGGGCCAGGAAAAATATTTTACGAGATAATAATATACCAGAGTCAGCAATAATTATAAATTTACAATCTTCCAAATTATAACTCTGCGTGGTCATTTTTAACAGAAAAATTATTATTAAAAAAATTATTGTCAAAAATACTATTATTATAAAATTATTATTACTTAATTATTTATTAATCTGTAAAAGAGTATAGTAATATTAGAGAAATTCTTCAGTAGGCAAAAGAACGTTAAGCTGATTAGTTATTACAGTTGACCAATCATATTCAAGCGCCGCCATCATAGTCCGTTTTCGATAGAGGCGATTAAAGTTACTCACGATTAAATTTAATCGCGATTACAGATAATCATCTTCCGAAAATGATTATCTTTACACATGATTTAAAAAATAATCGTGAGTAAAGTAGCAGTTACACTACTAGTTTAATCACCAATCGTGATTCACGATTAAAGATAATCCTGTCTAACTGCGTAGTGTAACCGTAGTGCAAAAGAATATTGTCTATTTGCCAAATTTAACCGTATGGAACATGTGTTAAACGAAGACGGACAAAGACGCCACTAAATGACGCGTTTTTTTCTTTCTATGAAGTTGTCACCTTGTTTCTTTTCTACTACTAATTACTTTTGTTCAACAACTAAACATGAAAATGCTCTCGAACAGATGATTCGAAAATCATTCACACAACTTGATCTTGAACTTGATGATACTGAACTGCTATCGTTGCTCGATGATCTGAAGTGTAAAAATATTTTACGAGATAATAATATACCAGAGTCAGCAATAATTATAAATTTACAATCTTCTAAATTATCTTGTTAAATACATTTAACTGTCAACTTTTCCTAGTCGTAACACTATTCATTGAAAATAAACAATATTTTTACAGCTAAAGCATCTCAAAGAAAAGAAAAATACAGTCCAAGCTTTAGAAATGAAGAGGAGAGGTATCTGAAAACGATGACATAATATGTGATTCGCCCAATAACCACAAAAATCTTAGTTTAGAACGTTTTAACATATGACTAGAAAAAGAAACTAATTTAATGATTATTAATCTTTGAGGAAGCTTTAGTGTTTATAATGAAAGTTCAACTTACAGTGAAACTTTTCACTTTGCTCTGCATGACAACACATTGCTTCAAGAGGCAAAGTGACTTTAGTACAAAATTTCGTTGAACAGTCTTTAGAAAATAATCCCGATACTTCTTATTTCGATAATGTTTTCGATGTCGAAATGTAAACGCTTTAACAAAGTGTACAATGCCCTAGGAAAAGTGAAAATATACTCTGTTGACACTCTGTGAAAATAAATATAGAGTGCAGTGTACCCTTTGATATTGAGACTTCCTCGTCAATCTTTTTACATGATGACGGGTGAAAAGCTATAGTACCTGCTTCTGTAAACTAGGGTGGAAAACAAACAGTCAACAAACTATGCTTCAATAAAGAGAAACACGAAGAGTGGGCTGAATGCTACGAGAAAGTATGCACTGTTTCCACGAATATCGATGATATTTGTGACCAACTAACGAAAGATGTCGCAGTTAGCTCCAATAATCTTGTGTCCATGACCACTGTGTCACCAAAGTCAAATGCTGAAGAAATAAACAACCACGAAGCATTATTCATGTATTTCCAACTACTTGTCAATATTTTGACTGAGTTCCCTCATAAAGACTCTACGAAACAAGAACTACTTGACTTGTGTAGAATGGACTATGCAGGCAATAAAAAAAAAACTAGATGTCATCGATCAATTCCATAAAGCGTACTCGAAAGAGCAGGCAATACAGTGGTACACGAAAGAATGCTTTCTCTATCGAATACTAAATAAAGCATTACGAACACAAGACATTGATATGTTATTCAAGCTCGGCTTTTTCATCAAAGACCTTCACGAGGCGCTTAGCAATCTCCAAACGTCAGTGACCACTCGTCTCGGAAAAACAATTACTGTCTATCGTGGGCTAGGGCTACCCAACAAGGAGTTCGAAACTTTACAAAAGAAAGTAGGAGGACTTCTATCAATGAACAGCTTTTTGTCAACAAGTACTCAAAAAACCGTTGCTCTGCACTTTGCTGGCAAATCATTCGGCAGATCAGATACCACGCCAGTTCTGTTTGAAATGGCGGTTGACACTGAGAAATGTAGACAACCATTTTCAAATATAAAAACAGTGAGTGACTTTAGTGCAGAAGATGAAATTCTGTTTTCGATGGGCACCGTGTTTCGGATTGTCTCTATAAAGAAGCTGAAGAAAGAAGGTGTTTGGAATCTTAAGCTAGAGCTGAATGGAGACGAAGACATAGAGTTGAGTGTGTTAAAGAATCATATACAGCATGAACTTGGCGAAATGGACAACCTCAACACCCTGGGTAAATTGCTGATGCGAATGGGTGAAAACACTAAGGCAGAATACTATTTCCAGATGCTGCTCGAAGACGCGTCGCTCGATCACATTGGTCACGCATTAGTATATCATAACATCGGACAAGTTCACAACAATCAAGGTGATTATGAGAAAGCATTGAAATATTATGAAAAATGTCTTAACATCTATTTGATCTCACTTCCACCAACTCACCGTCATATTGCAACAACATATAATAGCATCGGACAAGTTTACAACAATCAAGGTGATTATGAGAAAGCATTGAAATATTATGAAAAGGCGCTTACTATGGCACGAAAAACATTGCCATTTGCTCATCCTGTTCTTCGCACTATCGAGTTAGCTATAAGGACTGCTCGTGAAAAGCTTTCCAAATACAGTAATGTTTTCTGAAGCTCTGTAGCTCTGTACCTTCTTTGTATGATTGAGTTCATGCAGTTTGGATGTCCATGCTCGCTTTTTTGTTTTCGCGTGAAGGAATATGTCAGTAGCAAAAACAAGAATTTGCAATTCACGTTGTGAGTCTGTTTGTTCGGTCATCTGTCGTTGTGGATGCGACCAGCGATGCTTCAGCAGGTGCATTTAATTATACATCAGTGTTGCTTGTACTGATTTCAAAGAGCTTATACATGCATTTGGCGAAGATTATGACCTTAAAAAAATTCATGAAAAATATGATAATAATATTATACTGAGTATATATAATCGAAACAATCGTCAAATATATAAAGGAAATTGAATGGAGACTTTCTTTGGTTCACGTATGTGAACCATAGAATGATTTTTGATTGTGTGGCTACGTGTTCCAATATGATATCAGTGGGTCAAGTAAATTTTTGCACAAAACGTTGGGAAAAAGACGCAGGTTTCGAGAGCGAAACTTTTTTTTAAGCGTAATCATGACTGGGAATATTTTTCGATGGTAAGGACCAGGCTCGAAAAGAACTTCACTTTCCGAGATGGTATATAGAAGTGAATCAATATCCAGCAGCGCATGAAGACATATGAAGATTGCAAGTGTAACGTGCAGATGACAAAGATATTTTGAAAGATTCAGAGAAAATGTTTTTGAGCTTTGACAGTCGATGGTGGAAGCGCCAGGTTGAGGATAAATAATAGTTTCCTGACTATCACTAATCTGTAAGGGAAGATGTTAAAGTTTACGATTCACAGCGTTTCATACCAGTACGTCCAAGTTTTCTAAAATGTAAGATTAGCCAGACCAGCAGAGTTATATAAGCTCCATCTTAGCCTTCTGATGCCCATAGAAACCATACTTTCTTCATAGTGGATATTTTTGTTCCTAATATTGATACAGAACTACTAATGAGATCGAACGGCGTGTATCGTTTGATCAATTGAGCTGCTCTTTTTACGCCTCCAAGGCTTCTCCATTTCCCGAAATGGATTTTTAAAAATTTGTGCTCTTTTAAAGGAATTTCGCAATAGCATCATTACAATTTTTCGATCGATAACCAAACATTCAGTACGTACCCGTAATAACAGGATAATATAAAATTGAATCTAACACAACATTCCCAAGTCCATTTTCTTATCGCATGTCGCACCCCGATTCTCTTTAAAATTTCGCGACGCGATTACATGACCCATTCTGACTCCCACAGTTAGACGCAACTTATAGCGATCACGATTTTCTGGCGCTCATACAAAAACCACTCTTAACTCTCAAATGTTTTACCGCGAACGCAGATGAATCGCAAACTCGCGACGAAGCTACGCGGGACTTATATTAATCAGGACGAGATCCCTTTTCTTTGACGACCACTCTCATCCATTTCTGACGGTGATTAATTAACTAAAATGTGAAAGTATTTTGAATATTTCGAAAATCAGTGTACGTTATATAGTAGGCGTCTAAACAAAACAAAAGTGTGAATAGGACTGTGTACTACAGTCGCGCCGTGACCCTGTATCATGTCATGGTTATAAGAGAAGAACACGATTACGACGTGGAGATGAAATTATAAGGATCGCGAAGGCTGTACTAATTCAAACTAATTAAGCAATT